CCCCCTCACACACATTTTGTGTTCTCTGAGCAAATTTAGCTTCTTTTGTATCTCTAATTACTTTTTAAACACATACACACAGCAAGCACCATGTTCAAAAAAAGAAAATGCCCCCAAATCAGGTAACGCAGCCTTCCTCACCCCCACCCCCCCCCATAAAGAATGGACAAAGAAAGAAACTATGAATTAATCAAACTAGAATATCAGAAATAAATAAAAACACAAAGGAGAGCTAAAAAGCAACCAAACAAACACAACAAATAAACAAAATAAAGAGAAAGTTTATTATGTACATGCTCAGAATAAAACCCCCACAAAAGCATGCATAATAAACGAGGAACATTTTGTGTATGACAGAAAACACAACAGACAGAAAGGGAACGAATAAAAGAAAATCCCAGACACATGAACACCCCTAAAACAAACATGAAACAACAACATTACCAGCATGAAAGAATGAAATCAAGTAGAAGTGATAGACCGCCATGACCACCCCCCTCGCCCCTTCAACCCGCGCTATGGTAAAAAAAACCCAAAACAACTCTGCATACTACTATCGCTACCCCCCGCCCCAAAACTTGAGCAGTCTGAATTAGGCATACTGCTTCCAGACATTGTGGACACAGTTTCAAGTTTGTCCTTTAATCCTTCTTGGGGTAATAGATTATAGGGAGGCAATGGGGGCGTTCTTATTTAGATTGGCCCAATCTTTGCAACGTCTCAACACGCAAAAACGTGCGTGCTTCCCTGGAGCTGCACACACTCCTACTCCTCTTCGATCCTTGTGCAAACGCAACATACTCAAACAAGAGACATGTTTCCTTTAAAAATATTACAAATCGATATACACGCTTCTAAAAGGGGTTCTCGTAAGTTTAAAAAGAAAACAGCATCGAAAGTTAATCAGTTGATGATGATTGAGACTAGAAGGAGTTGAAGAAGGCAAAAACGGACAGGAGGAGAACCGATAGGTGCAGAAGGTGGTGAAAGTTCATTTGCTTTCACTGGTGCTTGGCATTTGATATCGCAAGTGCAAAAAGGGTTAACTCACAAGTTCTCAATCCATCCCCCCCTCTCTCTCTCTCTCTCTCTCTCTCTCTCTCTCTCTCTCTCTCTCTCTCTCTTTCTCTCTCTCCATCCTTTCTTTCTCTCTCTCTCTTTCTCTCTCTCTCTCTAATCCCCCCTCTCTTTCTCGTTAACTCATATTTTGACAAACACTCAATATACGCACAGTGTACTGTTCATACACACACGCTCGCATACACTCATGCACGCACATCGTACTGTTCATACACTCATATAGTTACATACCCGCGCTCGCTTACATAGACATATAAACAAACACAAGTATACCCTAGAGCGATGGAGCTGTTAAGCCTAACTCTACCCCCGGCCCCCTTTTGCAGTATGCTTACACACTAATAATCTGAAATGGTCGCTTTTCAGGACAAGCTGGCTAACCCAGATTTCGGGGGTTCCCAGAAATCTTGACCTACACCAAAAATGGGCATTGCCCTACCTTTATGAGAAGTTTGGTTTCATTGGTGTGTATATTTGTTTGGTTATAGAGCATTTTCTCCTTGTCTGGTGGGGCACCCGAGGTCTATTTTGGCTATTACAAGGCCAAGAGTGCCCATATTGGCTGTGGGACATTGTGTGCTATTGGGGATTTTAAACCAATAGTTCAAAAAGTATATTATGAATTGGTTGCTATGGAAACGGCGGCCATATTGGATTTTATATACCCTTTTCAATCCCATTATGTTCCCTTATTTATTAACCGATTCACTTCTAATTTGGTACGTCAACAATGAATATGTAGCTCTTAAATTTGGGTTGTTGAATTTTTGATATATGCTTTAGTTTTTATTTTATGACACTTAAAATTGAGATGTTGCAAAAAATGGGGAAAAATGGAAAATTCATGCTTTCTAAGCCCATAAATCAAAAACAATTCCATTAATCAAAACTTCAACAAGCCAAAATTTAGAACTAGATGTTGTTGGTTTCCTGTGAAAGTTACATTGAAATTGAAAAAGAAGCAGAGCAGAAAAATGAGATAATGTGTGAAAAAATAGAATTGTGAGAAAGCAGCCCATAAAGGCAAGAAAAGGCTAGAAAACATGTGCTTTCGCAGAAACGTCTGACAAAAAAAACACAGCTTTAGGGTGTAGCAAGGTTTACAAACGTTTCTGGATATTGTTCAGGAAATGTCCAGGTACTATAATATATAATAAACCCAATTTGTAAAATTTGACCATGAAACACGATTTCCAGGTGCCCCACCAGCCCTTAAAGAAACTGAACAAGGGGCAAAAACCTTACATTCGATTTTCTCAAAACAGCATTTTTCGGGATAGCCCCCTTGTGCTTAAAAGCGACCATATATAAATAACTTAGTTAACTAGACAAACAGTAGAAGATCGATAATCAGAGAGGTGGGTTTAGAAAAGGGAAAGTTATCAGACCTTCAAACAATGAAGGAACAACTTGTTATATT